ATACGGGTTTCGTATAAAAATTGTATATAAAAATTATATATAAAACTCTTTATATATATATAAACTCTATATAGACAATGAGATTTCATGGTCTTGGTGTGTCTTGTCTTGATCCGGAGTAAGGCATAATTTCGTCGTCCATCAGTCATCAACTTATTCTAAACAACACAACAATTGACCGCGCAATGTGCCACTTCAAATCTCACTGTGTATGGATCGGTACTTGAAATATCCTCGAAAACCTGGTCCCAGCTCATCCCCTTTCAAAGTTGATCATTAATTTTGAATGATCTACTATAAATTGCCTCTCGGCGTCGAACATCGATCTAGAGAGAAATATTTCGTCGAGCATTGAACGTGTAACAATTATCGGCAAGTGCCAACTTCAAATCAAAATAGAGAATGTCACAAAAACAAAATAATGCCCCACAGTGATCGGGATAAAATCTACTGTACAGAAGCAAGTATACAAGATATCCTCAGCAATGATCAGTGACCATGATAATTCAAATGACATTCCATAAAATAATTTGCGTATCACGACCAAATGGATAAATAAACCAGCGAATGCGAAGAGACACTGTGGAGGGCGTATGGAACAAATTGAAAGGTTAAGACGTATTAACTATCAGGATATTGCAAAATCATGAAGATAAAAGTGAAGCTAAACCCGAATGACAGTTAGAATTCGGACGAATCCTCAATTACTTAATCAACGGTTATAGTAATTCGTCACGAGTGGATGTCTACTTGCTATCATCGCAAATAAGTTATTCTTCCTTCGATTACATCATCATTTCCACATAGCTAACGATACCAGCGCAGAAAACCATCAGTCTTCACGAAATTCTAATCTGAATTATTGATAGTCTTGGCGATCATACGGATTCAGTGTTCCCCTCCCATACTGTCGAATGAGTGTTTTATCGACGAGAGTATTTCATCGAAATATGACCGATATATAATCAATTTCCTCATTCCGAATCAAACTTATCCAGAATATTGAATCAGCATGCGTGGTGTTCTACATCGCAGATAAATACTGATATTAAATGCATATTACGAAGAAAGCCGATATTAAAGATACTAAACGATATTAAAGATATTACGGATATCTTTGATATTTTATATCTTTGATATCAGCATAATATTAAAGACGATATTAAAAAGAAACAGGATGGTAAAGGAAGGTAAGATCGAAAATCGAATGGAAACGCATGATGAACAGCAATGTTACAAACATCAATAGCAATTTATAGTGTGTACATAATGAGTTAGCAGCATTCGAAGTGAAGAGCTCAAGAATCCGCGAGAGTAGGTCCAGTGGACTCGGAGAACTGGAGAATGCTTAGAAATGATACTCTTGTGCGCTCTCAGAAACCTCCAACTCAACTCTTGCCGTTATACAGTCCTTATGACCATTAAGGCAAGTGTCCATAGGCTAGGTATATTAAGTGTGACAGAATATTCTGGAGCAGTTAGACTCGAAATCTCAAAGTATCATGACTGGGCTCAACGTCAACATTTTTATTCAAAATAATAGCCGTTCATATCTAGATAACGTTGCCAACGGAAAACCAGGGCATCTTTCTGTGTAGTCTAGAAACGGGGATCCTTGACATTAAAAAATCAACGGATGTCAACTTTTAGTAGGGTCTGATTGGTAATCTGTTAACGAGAGATCTGGAGAGTATGGCAGATGAGGCGGAACCTCGAAGCCCAATTGCTGAATGTTTTGTAACCTTGTTTGTGCCACGTGTGGTCTGGCATTATCCTGTAAAAGGATCGGACCACGTCTGTTCACCAATGCTGGCCTCATTCTCAACATCTGATCCCTTACAACTTCAAGTGTAACAGAGTAGTATTCGGCGTTAATGGTTTACCCACTCACAAGGAATTCGAGATGGATCACACCAGTGGCACATCAGAAAACGATAAGCATGATATTTTTGGGATACAGTCTTGTTTTGGGCATCACTTTTGGTGGCTCATCTACGTCTGGCCATTGAGTTCGCCTCCGTCGATCATCACTGTCAATCCACTTTTCATTCACAGTGACAATTCGATCAAGGAATGGATCATCGTTGTTTTTGAGCATCGAAATTACTGCGTTATGTCCAACTCGTGTGGAACCCATCGATACACCTTCTTCACCTTACCAATCTGCTGTAGGTGGGTTGAGATAGTTCTTCGGCTGACATCAAATTGGTTTGCCATCTACTCCTAAGACTGAGCAGAGTCTGACTCCGCTACCTCTTTCAACTCGTCGCTGTTCAAGAATGAAGAGTGACTTGACCTCGGTTCGTTACTTCTCCAGCACTGAACTTCTAAAAGCTCNCTATCATAATTGTCAAATAGTAGTCCTCTCATCAAATGCTTTGTTGCCATTAGCTGTCGCCTGTCGGCTCCATTTTGAGTTAAACAAATAAATTATAAATTAATTGTCATTGCATCGGGGGATTATTGCAAGCATTGCAGTATGTGTTTAATAATTCGTTTGAAAATATGTGACTGCAATCAAAAAATCGATTCTTGATCGCATAGTTAAGTATAGATAAGACTAATAGCAAATAATCACAAGACATATCATTTGACAAGCCAAATATTTCTCATGCAGCTTTACTATGCGTTCATCAGTTTTTTGCTCCATAATATAAGCCATTTGAATTAATCTTGACTCAATTTTCTCAAGCATTTTTAAATTTAATCCGATTATAATATGATATAGTTAGGGAATGAATTGATAACAAACGAAAAAATGCAATTTAATGGTGGTGTGATTGATTTATAGTCATTCTTTGACTGCATTCAAAAAATTTAAAATGCATATAAAGCACAGAAAAAAATGTCAGTCAAATGCACAATTATATGGGCAATCTGGTGACTTTTAATTTGAATGTCACACCATATAGTTATTTTTTGGTTTGATAATATTTGGTTTCTTCTTTTGATTTTCGATTTCCTATTAACTATGCGATTATTCAATTCACTGCTTCAAGGATTACAGATAATCATTAATGCTTCCATCACTTCATTCTATGTGTCATAAAAAA